CTCTCCATTCTCCACTCTTTTTTTTTTTCTTTTTCTTTTTCTTTCCCCTTTTCAGCTGGAATTGAGGGAAACTCTCTTGGATAGAATGGTGCACTTACTCAGTCGAGGATATGTCCTGCCTGTTGTCAGTTATATCCGCAAATGCCTGGAGAAGCTAGATACAGATATTTCTCTCATCAGATACTTTGTTACAGAGGTTAGCAACCAAATTTTTGTTGACTACTATCCAAAGAGGTATGACCGATTACTCAAGTTTGTCATCTTATCTCAGATTAAAATATATTTCAAGATAAGAGACCAGATTTTCAGCAATGTATATAATATTGGTAGTCACAAGGATGTGATATAATCCTACTGGAGCCTGATTTCTGATAATGGGTAGAGTACTACAAAAATACACAGTTGATCACTTGGAGAACAGGGGTTCTTAAAAGAATTGCAACTATTTATATACCTTTAATAAGAATATCGTGAAGATATTGCCTGTACCACCAATCCGACTGGAAGAATAAGCCAGCTTTGCTTACTATTTCAGGTTTTGGATGTGATTGCTCCACCATACACCTCAGACTTTGTACAACTTTTTCTTCCAATCTTGGAGAATGAAAGTATTGCAGGTACTATTAAAACAGAAGGTGAACACGATCCTGTCACTGAGTTTATAGGTAAGTCAAAATTATCTGTTTCATACCCACTTCCTTCTGTATTTGTTAGAACTACTAGTTCTTCACACCAAAATTATCTACATTTAAAAAAAAAAAAAAGGGAGGGAGTATGCCTGAAAACTCTCTTCATAGATTATTTACCTGCCGTTTTAGGGAACTATCTTTAGCAAATTCTATGATTCTATTCAGCATGGATTCACCAAGGGAAAATCTTGCCTGACTAACCTGATAGCCTTCTATGATGAAATGACCGGCTGGATAGACGAGGGGAGAGCGGTGGATGTCGTCTATCTCGACTTCACCAAGGCTTTTGACACCGTCCCTCACAACATCCTCCTGGGCAAGCTCCGGAAGTGTGGGATAGATGAGTGCACAGTGAGATGGATTAGGAACTGGCTGGATGGCAGGGCTCAGAGAGTGGTGATCAGCGGTGCAGAGTCTAGTTGGAGGGCTGTAGCTAGTGGGGTCCCCCAGGGGTCAGTCCTTGGTCCAGTCCTGTTCAATTTATTCATCAATGACCTGGATGAAGGCACAGAGTGCTC